ACTACATATATATATATATATATATATATATATATATATAAGAGGAGGGATTTCATGCATCGGTTCTATAGTAAGATAATGAACTAATATTCAAAAACCATGTTAGAGTCATTTGATTGAACACAATTTTTTAAGATACACCCCTTTCATTCTAATGAACAATCACAAAAAAACAAAATTTGAAAACACAACCTAGAATTGTTGTTTCAGCCCAATTAATATAGGTCATCCATTTTAGTTAGATGCTTAGATCTAGGCCTTAGAAGTGATCTTTTCGCTTCTTTAGAACTAAAATTTTGGTCTCTTCCTAAAGTTAATAATTGATTGATAAATCAGCAACTCCCTTCCTCTGTCCCTCCCTCCCCCCAATTTGATAAATATTTCAACTAAATATGAAGATATTTTAAAAACAAAATCTCATGTTTGTGATGGGGCCAGCAGAAAAGGATCAAACACAGACACATCTTTTTACCTGGATGGCAAAAATCTAAAGTACATCTTTTTCCCTGGATGGCAAAAATCTAAGCAAAATTTATAATCTTTCTTTAAGATATTTTGAGACAATTAAATGATCAATTGTATTATATGAAACAATTGGCCTCTTTAGAACTGAAAATACAAAGCAATTGAGTTCTTTAGAACTGAAAATTTCGCACCTTCCTCAAACTAGTAATTGATTGATAAATCAACTACTCCCCTCCTTCCTCTCTCCCTCCCCCTCCACGTCTAACACTCCCCTCTAGCCCTCGTCCAACCAGCCCCCACTTTTCTACTTCCCAGCCAATCCTAACCTAATACTACATCACTGGAGCTGTATCGAAGAGGCTCAGTAAATATCTCCACTTTTGTATTAGGCCAGCCTCCTATCTACCAGTGATCTCCTTTCTGCTTTATTCCATTTTCTCTCTCTCTGCGACAGAAAAGACAGGCAAAGGGTTCTTTACCCAACTCTGGCAATCCAGAGCTTTGCAAGAGCTTTATTCAGACTAGGGGTGGAGCCCATGCACACATCCCCACAATAGAAGCAGTTCCCCACTATTGCAGAAAGAGAAAGAAAAGGGCCAATAAACTTCCACCCCACCACGTATGGGCAAAGGCCCCCTCACCACTCTACGGCAAAAGCTCCAACTTATTGCTGGTTCCCAACCCATATCTTTTACACATTATAAATCAGGGAATAAATACACATTAGTGTCAGGAAATTTTTTACCCAAGTCAAGTCAATATGTCCAGTGGCGTCAGTTGCAAACGGAAAATTCAGGTTATGCCTGAGTCTTTTGTTGAAAAATGGAGTCTTTCAGCACATTAGTTTTGATAGAAACCGAGTCAGCTCAAGTTCAAGTTTTTTAACTCTGGCGTGGCGTGTGGGCCCACGGACACACATATACAGAAAGAGAGAGAGAGAGAGAGAGAGACAGAGAGAGATGGTCAGCAAGTGGAGTAACAAACAGAGAATGAAGAAAGAGAGGTGTGATGATTTGAAAAGTTATATGTTTAAAAAATAAGTACAAAGCTTCTGCTTAATTCATTCAGTTGTATGTAAAAAAAATTGTCTCAAATGCGTCTATCTATAAAATGTATCAATCTCAAACGTACCTGACCTTTAGTCTCCAGTTTGCCAGTTGATGAATTTTTACATTTCAACTCATTTGAACTAAGGCCTGCTCCATCCCAGCTTTTGCGAAGACCCTTATTACCACTTGAAACCACGGATTCTGAACTTCTTGGAGGAACCTTTGCCCCCTTCTTTTCGCTCAAACCAGCCTTTTCATTCCCATTAGAATCTCCATTCACTCTTTTTGCACTCATGCAACCTTGCATATATCTAGATGCAACCGTAACCTTCTCCTCCTTTATCACAATTTTTGGTTTTATATTTTCAGATTCTCCATTCACCTCAGTCTCACGTTCAACTTCCCCTATTTTATATTCATCTGCTTTGACCTTTGCAACTTCTTCATGATCATTTTCTTTTGAACCCTTTAAAGAAATAGGTAGCTTTTCATCCTGTAAAGGAACCAACATATGCATGAGATCTTTTGGGGTCCCAACGCAAGGATGCCTTCCAGGTAACGGTCGAACCCCCACAATTATAGGAACTGGAGTGCCAGGTTCCATATTGTCAATGTATATAAACTGACCTAACTGTAATTTATCTGTTAAGATGAGTTCATTGTCCTCTTTTGACAGGGATACATAGCTTGAATGAGAAGAGTCAGAGACCTTTACAAAGAACCCATGGTTTGGCCACAACTCGCCGCCTGTTAAAGCAGGAACAATGCTGATGACCTGCAGTAGAACAGAGCGATATTCACCGCAGACCCTTACATCAGAATTTAAGCTTTGAAGAAGCTTCAGAAGTACTCCAGGGGTCAGGGATGCCATTTTTTACAGTTTTCTTTCAGATCGATAATATGCAGCTTCACCCTTCTACATACAATTTTGAAAATATGTTCATAATTTATCCGCTAATGTCGATACTAGATGTTACGTAATCTTCATGTGGTCCTTCAACCTGTTAAATACATAGTATTTCTTCAATCAGTCATTACCCATTTCAAATTGATATATAGATATTCCTTGGATTAAGAAAGAAACACCACATTCTTTTCATATAGTTATCAAGTAACACAACCAAAGTATATGAAGGCTCAAAACTACAGTCTAGACATACACTGTAAAGTACATCAGGCAGAACATATTCCATTATAGCTGCATAAGTCTAGAAAAGTCATGTAAGATAAACAAGTGCCCAAAGCATATTGAAAAGCCATATTGTTTTCTCTTGTAAAACAATTACGAGCTTTTAGATTATGTTATAGTATGTATTTTATTTGGAAAATGTTATCCTTACAATTTTGGCAGCAAACTTTTAAAATAGATGTCGAATAAGTTCATTTCAACTAATTGCACATCAATATGTAGCTATAAATCGAAGAGCCCCTAGCTATACTCTCCCCGACAGTACTAAAAAAAAATGATTCAAACTCAAACCTATTTGAATGTATCGGACAACAGCGGGGGTAGAGAAATTGATGTGTATTGAAATCGTAGGAGCTAGTAACCCCCAATATGCTCATATTGGTGAAGTTTATTCAGGAGATTTAATCTTTCAGCATGGAAGATGGTTAACCCTATTAGGATATTCCATCAATCTTATAAAGACAACCATATTCCTTCCATCCTTTAGCTTTTGTTGCGCTCTAAATTCAAAGGAAAGCAAGCAAGCAAAACAAAAAATCTAAGCACAAAAGCATATCACCACAATACAAACAAAAGAAAAAAGAATGGAGAAATGTGTTAAACAATTAACATTGGGAAGAAGCAAACAAACAACCCAAACGTTTTGGACAAAAAGCAAATGAAATATTCAAGCAGATCTTCTGAAAATATCATTGAACCTAAAGAACTTTTCATATTTCAGAAATCTTGCACTTAAAACTTCAAGGAGTGGATAGAGCCTGTCAAATTATTGAGGAACAAATCTGGATCATCCAAAATCAACCATTGGACTTCTCGCCTGTTATGCAGTACATGTGAGTGTACAATGTACTAATTCAGGATACGAATCAATAAAATATTCAAAATACAAGATATCCGTATGACCAAGTTTTCCTTATACGTTTCAAGTAAAGCAGATAAAGATAAAGAGGCAAATATTTTCCTGATTCGTCAGCAATTTTCTGTCACCTTTCAAGTAAAGTACCAACCCATCACCACCCCAACCCCCCACCCCCAAAAAAAAAAAACCCACTGGGGGCCTCCAATTTACATGGGCTAGAAGAGTTTGGCTGAGCCCAATCTGACCAAAGATTCAAAATTCCTGCTGGATCACTATTCTCATTAAGGCACTTACGATGGATCAGCTACAGTGAAGGGATCCACCCATACCAAAGAAATGCCCCATGTGTAAATCAGCAGAGGAAACTTATGCCCTGTCTTCTTACATTGTGAGGTGGCTAGAACTCTATGAACTGAGCTACTACAAAAGCTTTGAGTGGCAATAGGTAGCCCCCCAGTCAATTCCTCCTTACTTGGCGGCAGGCAGTTTCTGTGGCATGCATCAGTGGAAGCAACCATTTGGACACTTTGGATCAAAAGAAATGCCAGAATATTCTAAGGTAGGAGGCGAACCCAAGGCCGTAACTGACCACATCAAAGCTATTGTGATTCTTTGGGCCCAAAACCATAAAAGCCTTAGAGGCCTAGCAACCACCAACTTCCTAAACAGTATGCACAATGCTCTTCCCTTTGGAAGGCCCTGGACACCAACCAGATAAAGCTGAATTTTGATGGCTGCTCCTTGGGAAACATGGGCCCTTTGAGTTTTGGAAGCCTACTTCAAGTTTTGGAAGCCTATCCAGAGACTATAACTGCAACATCCTCTTATCAGTCATATCAGCTATACAGACTCAACCATGGCGGAAGTAGTGGCACTCTTAGAGGGCATCAAGAAATACAACCATTATTGGAGCGACTCTTTGGTTGTAGCAGGAAAGTCAAAAAATGTCATTGCATGGGCCTCAGGTGCCTCCACCTGCCCATGGCATCTCGATTACACCATTGAGCATATAGTATTTCTCTATAGGCATAAATTCGCATCTCCTGTCAACATACCTGGCGAGAGGCCAACTCTAGCATGGATGCACTTGCAAAAGAGGGAGCTACTTCATAAGTCACCAGGGGAACCCAACCAGCAACTTATTGAGCGCGGTTCCACAGTTTTGTCTTTTTGGTTACTTGGATTCATTTCTTATGTATAGTGTGCTTTCTCAAGCACCCTGTTATGCATATGATCTCAAAAGCTGGCCCCTTTGAGTGGACCTCCATTATAGGTTGTAAATATTTTGTTACCGTAATAGGAACACAAAATCAACAATTCGAAAAAAAAAAACCGTAAAGCAGATAAAGAGCCTAGATAATTTCATGATTCATCTAATATTTTCTCTTGAACCTTTCAAGTAAAATGGATAGAAAGGCAAGTAATATATCGATTTATTGTCGTAAATTCATAGAAGAACAAACTGTAACAAAGTGAAACAATCTCTAGGTCCTCTCTTTAGAGTTACCCCAATTGCAAATAACAAATGAAATATCTAATTATGATACCGAGCATTGCCAGTGATATTTACAAACAAGCCATCATTTCACCTAAAAAACTTCAGTAAAAATTTAAAATAAATTCAAACTTGGCTTATTAAATAATCCTGCGTATAGCTAGCCAGGATATTAATATAAACTTTTCAGACTTGCACAAAATTTACAAAATAAACATATTACTACATCAATCTCCAAAATTTGTATGAACATACACTTATGCCTCATTATTTTTTTAACAAAAAATATTTTTTAAAAAATAAATAAATAAATAAACTCATAAGCACTTTCCCTTTGCCTAAGTTTGCACATAAATTTTCATGTATTTTCCACAAAAAAGATTCCAAGTGCGCCTTAAAAATCGCATAAAAGCTTTAACAAGCCCTAAGAACAAAATTTTGAGATAGTTCAGCAGTTGGAATTGAAATCGGGATGTAGTGCTGCAAATGTCAACAACTAACACCAATGCAGCCCCTTTTTATTGGGCACGTACCAATGAAGCCCATGCCGATTGCCACAACAGAAACCTATAAACAGTCATTCCTGTTCTTCTAGAATTCTGTATAAACATATGAAAATCCAGAATTCGTCAAATATGCGTATGGATGAAACCTGCAAAACTACACACTGGTCTAATGAATAAGTCGTTGTCCAAAAAATCTTTAAAAATGGAGTCATTTTCCATTAACTTCAACAAAAGAAGTTCCAAACTCTACAAATCAAACCTACAGAGACACATGTAGAAACATACAATACCTAAATCTCCATTGCATTCTATGAGCACGCAATCAACTTCCATTGAGATTTCTAGAAAACTCGCAATCATCTGAATTATTCATGCTAGCAAGTCTATTATTATGCATACAACTCCATCGAAATGTACAAATACTAAGTCACCTTTCATTAAACTCCTAAGTCTAAATAAACCTCAAGAATACGTTCAAATCCGAAAAAAAAAAAATGTATAATCATCTAATTCACAATCTCTTTTGCGAGCACTTATTCTTATTTTACATATAAATTCACAGATAATCCAATTACCTTCCACTAGAACTCTAAAAAAGGAAGAAAAATCTGACAAGGAAAGGTATCATTACCTGGAATAGGGGCCAAATCCCTTGAAGAAAAAGGGCTTGAGATATTGAAAGCTTTTGATGCAGAAGAGGAAGGTTCAGGTGGAAAGGAGAGAAAGATAAGGGCTCAACATCATAGGTGCGAGCCATGATTGGATAGCTTGGAATAGCAGGCAAGTTAAGAAGGCGATCACGTCTCGTGCCCCTTAAGGAAATGAAGAGAGAGAGAGAGAGAGAGAGAGAGAGCAAAGTTTTTATTTAATAATGAATTTACAGGGATTGCATTTTTCCGTTGTAAAACGGGCCCTTTGACATGTTCCTCTTATCCCGCGAAAATGATGCTCTCTCTCCCCCTTCCTTTTCTGAAGAAACTTAAAAACTCTCTCTCTCTCTCTCTCTCTGGAGAAATGATGTTTCCCTCTCTCCCTCTCTTCCCCCATGCGAAAAAGCTCTCGGCCCTCTCGTCTTTTTCACGGTACTTCGTAACTCGGACTCGCCGCGCGGACGAGCCTTAGAATCCCCTAGTTGGGTTTAAAAAAATTTAAAAATATGTATAAAAATTTTAATAATAAAAGATTTATATGCTGCGTGCTTAAAAACTAGAAGCGTTCAAAGATCTTATTTTTCTCTTAATAAAAAATTTATCTGTTATATATTTTTTATGTTTTCTATCAAAAATATTTTAATCATAACTGCTTATTTTCATATTAATATTTTATTTTTGGATTATTTCTAAAATATTTTGATCACAAATTATTTTGAAAATTTCCTAATTTTCAATTCTTCTTAAATGAAATGCGCTTTATTTAATTTTACTTCAAAGAGTAAATACATTTTTCTTTTTCTTTTTTTTAACACTTTTTAAATTCGTCAAAACTTGGCCCAAGTCAGGCCGAGTACTTGGCCCACGCCCGACTCGGTCTTTCCAATTCTGCATTTTCAAGAGCTTGCATCTTTCTCTCTCTCAATGCGGCGGAGAGTGGGACCTATGCCTGAAATAGTGACATTTTTCTGTATTGTCCACTCCCTCCGTTGTTGTCCAACTAACTGTAGGGGGACTATTACTTGATAGGACCAAGACGATGATATTTTTTTTCTTTTATTTTTTAAATCAATTAGTATGAACGTCATTCACCCATTAACGATTACAAAAGGGTTCAAAAAGAAATTGATGTAACCACCGATGAATGTTGGTACACAAAACCCTTTGCTAAAGCATCAGCTTTTATATTAGCCTCCCTAAAGCAATGAGATACATCAAAAGAACCACTATTTAAAATGAAAAATATTTCATTGAAAATACTACATAACAAATTCTTACTAAACTACAACCAATCACTCTGTGATTCTCCTCATGCAGCAGTCGATAGACAAACTTAACTGAAAAATCCTCTGAAGCAGTGAGTTCCCACACCAATCGATCATCTTTATTGGGAACATAGAAAAAATTATGCAACAGATTCATAAGCAATTGGAGCTCATGAAAGAAAGAATCTGAGACCCTCCTATACCTTCAAACAATATTCAAAAAAGAGTTAGTAAAATCAGCCCTCTAAGATCTTTCATTGAAGCCAATGGATTGTAGATTTTGGAAAAGACCTCAGGGAAAGAATCTTGAGGAGCAAAGTCTCTCAGGTATTTATCAAACCAAAACAAGGTGTGATCTCCCTTTCCAACCACTTTGCGACAATGATTAAGATACAATGATCGACACGAATCAATTCCTTTCCAAATATTTGCAAAACCAACCTTAGATCTTAGACTTTTAATGAGGGCAGTCAATATATCTACTCCATATTTTACTTTTGATACCTCTCTCCATAAGTTATCCTGTTGATTTTGGAAGCGCCACCACCACTTAGTCAATAGGCTAGCGTTCATCAACTTGAGATTTTTAACTCCTAGACCTCCATCTATGTCGGAAGTACATACCTTTTCCCAATTCACAAGTTTCAATTTTTTTTCCCATTCCTACATTGCCCCATAAAAAGATCTAATAATGTTTTTCAAAATCTTCACAACCTGCTTTGGCATTTTGAAAATGGACATAAAATAGATGGGTAAGTTGGACAAAGTGGTTTTAATAAAAGTATATATTCCTTCAAAAACCAACACTTTAGATTTCCATAGATCTAGTTTCTTATTAAATCTTTCTATAATAGGATCCCAAATAGTTGTCGATTGGTTTCCTCCAAATAAAAGAATACCCAAGTATTTACAAGGAAACTTGCCAGCCCCATATCCAATAATTTTTGCCAAAGACGTCACCACATTCTCTGAAACTTCAATCCCAATCAAATTTGTCTTTTTTAGATTCTCTTTGAGACCCATTGTTATTGCCATACACTTTACAAACACCCACAAATTCCTTACTTTTTGCTCCTCTAGGCTACAAAAGATAATATTATAATTTGCATCTTGTAAGTGAGATATTGTTAGTCTACCAACATTAAATCCAGAAATAAGTCCTCTACTCACCATAGAGTTCAGCATGATATTAAAAATTTCTGCCACAATAGTATATAAGCATGGGGACAATGGATCTCATTGCCAAATGCCTTTTGATGCTTTAAAATAACCACAAGATTTTCCATTGAAAAAGATGGAGAAATGAGTTGACTTCAAATATCCCTGGATCGACACTCTCCAACGTGATCTAAAACCCATCTTCCATAAGATTTCATGTAGAACATGCCGATCCGCTTTATCAAATGTCTTTTCAAAATCTATTTTACATAGAAGACCTTATTTTTGCTCTTTCAACCTTGAGTGTATGCATTCTTGTACCATTAAGATATTGTCTATAATATGTATGTCTTTGAGGAAAGCAAACTAAGGACTTTCATAACCAGATGTAATACTTCTCTCAATATATTTACCAAAATCATTGCAACAATTTTATAGATACTCCCCAGTAGGTTAATAGGACTTATGTCCTTTACACTCTCTATAATTGATTTTTTGGGAAATTAAAGCAATAAAGTAGAATTTATTGTTGACAAGATTTTACCTCTATGATAAAATTCATCCACGAATTAAAAAATATCCTCTTTTAGAAGCTCCCAAAAAGTTGGACAAAAGGTTAAAGGAAAACCGTTTGGCCCCGGTGCCTTATCCCTTTCCAAGGAGAAGACATCACCTTTTATCTCATATATTTCTAAAGGTCCTTCCAGCCATAAAGCCATTTCAGAAGGCAATCTATCAAAGATGACATTCTCAAGACTAAAATGCTTTCTTTTTTCCACTGTAAAAGCTTATTTGAAATGGTTAATTAAACTTATTTCAATTTTGCTACCTGGTTCAATAAGCTCCACATCTCCCACTTTAATTTAATTAATGGAGTTACATATTTTTTTTGCAATAGCATGAAAGAATTTAGTATTTCTATCTCTTTCTTTTAACCATTTCACTCTAGATCATGGCTTTCAATATACTTCTTCCAATTTCTGAAGGTCATACAAGGAAGCAAGAGAGTTACTTCTTTCCCGCATTTTTTCTGGTGGCATTGATCCTCCCATGAATTGGATCTTATCAATCTCTTCAATATTTTTTTTTGTCACTGCTATTTTTGTCTCTAGGTTAGCCCAAGATTCTCTTTTCCATTTACAAATTTCTTTCTTTAGTATTTCCAATTCAGTAGTAAATTGATGACCCACCCAACTTTGTATCTTGGTATTATGCCAAAACTCTTCCACCAACTAAATAAAGCTTATTTGGTAACAACTTCAGCTCCATTTTAAAAAGGTGATGGGTTAAACTTCATACCTACCGAATTCAATAGGAGAGTTATGAAAAGGGGGACTATCATATGATCCATACGATTAATAATATGGCCATAGGGATCATTGTCCTCTGGCCTTCATAGATCCCCATCGTTTCTAGGTAGCCCTAAAGGGTCTTCATGTTTTCTTCCATTTTAGCTAATAGAGTCATTGTCGCAAAAGTGACTTGATTGGCCTGATTACCTCTCATGGAATGATATATTTGATGAGCTCGTAGCTAGGTTGGTCGGCGTGGTTATTGAGGTTGTTGTGTTGGGCGTGACTCCAGCATTCAGATAGTGCAAGCCTAACTTGCCTAGCTAAAAATTTCACCAAAATATTCTGTAAACTTCAGGAATCTCATTTCATTTGGTTGATTTTTTGCAAATTTCAACAAAATTTTGACTGAACACTAGAAAAATTTGAACGAAATTTCGCAAATTTCAGGAAAATTTTCGATGATTTCCATGCTAAATTTGAAATTTAATTCAATCTTGATTCAAACCAAATATTCAAGTCTCTCTCTCCTACTTATAAGGCCAGAGATTTGCATAAATTTGTGTAGCTCTAATGGGAAATGGGTCACTCGCTTTGAAAATTTGTGTATCTCTAATGGAAAATAAGTTTCATTATATATTTTTGTATGAGTATCATACATGTATTTGGAAGCATGCACGATAACTAATTGATGATTGCCCGAGATTTTGTTTCTTTGATTAGGCTCATCTGAATTGTGGTTGTAGCATCTCCACACTACTCACCACATTGTGATTTTCATTCCTATCAATGACACCGCCTCACTAGTATATTCAAAAATCTAACTCTAATCTACAATAAAAAAAAAAAAAAGATAGCGGTTTCTGTTCCCCATTGAATTACTCCAAAACAAAAAAAAAAACTTTGTGTTCCCCACTTAATTACTCAAAAAAAAAGAAAGGAGGAAAGATGGAGCTCATGTACATAATGTCCACAAACTTCAAGCTATGTTATACTCATACGGATACGTGTGTCGATGCCTTCACAATATGAAATGGTAGCTCGAAAGAAAGGGAATGATGGGACTTTAGGCTGCGTTAAATATTTTTATTGTGAGATTTCAATAAAAAAAATTAAAAAAAATATATTTAAATTTCTCAAGTAACAAGCACGATATCATGCCCGTTACATATTCGTCCTCCGCGCCCTCTTAAGAGATAAAATGAGCATCCACCTAGATTTAGATTCATCTCATATGGCACAAGATTACACTCTTGGGTTAGGGCCCTGAGAGTGTATTGGATTCCAACTCGGCCCTAACTAGATTAGCATATGCCCCATTCGAGTGAGAGGCCATGAGGCTTTCATGGCTCCCAAATTCAACCACTGTTCCACCACGAACCACTGCTATTCTATCAGCTTCTCTAATGGTGGCCAACCTATGAGCCACCACAATGGTGGTTGTATCCTTTGAGATCTTCCTCAAGGCTTGTTGCACATGCTTCTCTGACTCTATGTCCAATGCACTGCTTGCTTCATCTAGCAAAAGTACCCTTGGTTTCTTGAGGATTGCTCTTGCAATGGCTATTCTCTGCTTTTGTCCACCTGATAATTGCACCCCACTCTCACCCACCTGCACATAAGATTTTAAAAGTGAGATGGTACGCTTTGCTTCATGAGAAAACCAAAGTAGAGTCATTTTCATTTGTGTGTGTATGTGCATATGTTTGCAGATATCGAGCCAACGCTCATCTTGTGTCTATGTAAGATGAGAGAGAGAGAAAGCAGTGCTCCATTACTCGGGAGTGTCAGCTTGGACTAACCCGGGTAACTCAAGCTCGTCACCCTTGTTAGCTCGAGTATCCTCGAGCTGGGTGTCTAATTTGAGGATCTTAAAAAATTTCAGAATAAAAAAAAAAAAAGTAAGAAATTTGTTTATGGTTTTTATTATTATGGCAAAGATTGAAAAGGTGTTTTGGCTTAGATACTTTTTTTACATTTTTCCTTCTTTTTGAATTATTTCTAAAATACCCCAATGACAAATTTATTTTTTCAAAATACATCCTTCACTGATTCTTTAACCTTATTTACATGCATTTTGTTTAATTTACTTTTAAAATATTTTTATTTTTTTTGGATGTTTTAGTATTATTTTTTATTTTTTTAACACTTTTTGACTTGAGCCAAAACTCAACCCAATCCGAACTGAGTTACTCAGACTCGGTTCGAGAACTCAGCTTGGGCTTGGGCCAAGCACCCAGCCCGAGTCACTCTTTGCAACAGAGAGAGAGAGAGAGAGAGAGAGAGAGAGAGAGTACTACTGTGTTCTACTACCTTACCTACGACGAACCAACCTAGTAGTAAAGTAAGTAGTAGTAGTAAGTAGGTCGTCGTCGTTCGTT